TACGACTAGGTCGAATGAGTTGATTAGATGCCTAGACAAAGGGGAGCCCTTTGTTGAATGAAGTCGTAAAAAAAATTTAAATCCACTGCTAATCTCCCTCACAGCTATAAAATTAAAATTATTCACCGGCACATAAATATACGAATAAGTAGGAAGGTCCTCCTTTCAATAATAGATTTTCATCAGATAACGTCCTATAAATATTCATCAACTTCCTGTATTCATTGAAATGAGAAAGCGATTAGTAACAAGATCCAGATCTGGAACCCACAATTTACTGTTTTTAAATTTAATTTCCTAGTAATTCGCCCACTGTTGGCATTTCTTCAAACAACTTCAGTTGCAGATCTGTTGATAAATTTTACGACTCAATGATCCAATGGCTACCAATACAACTACTTTATTAATATTATTTATTTTTTAACGACTCAATATCGAATGCACATGTCATAAAATTGCATAAATATCATAAATAAAATATTCACAGATCCAATTTCAGTTTTTTGATCTCCTCATTCTTCTTTGTATTGTCTGTTATTGTCTCAATCTATCCCATAAATTAATCCGAACAATACGAGAACAAGTCATAATACACAAGATAAATGTGCTAATTTTCTTCCACTTGAATTGGCTTCAAAAATTCTTTTCTGTAACTTAAAATCACAATAAAAAAAAATAATACATAAAAGTTTCATCGAAGTTCATCACAAAAATTCCTCAAATATCTCATTAATCTTTCTCTCAATATACTTCTGTGCTGCTACTGTGACAGACTTCTTTTATAATATAATTCCAATGTCTCGAAATAAAAATAAGAATATTCTTGGTAGACATCAGAGGTGTTGTCAAAGCTACTTGCTTTCAATTCCACAACAACTCTAGCTACGCCCCTGCTCGACACAAATCTGTAGAAAATGAATTTAACCCCAAAAATAAATTGCTAATCACGAAAAGTTATGAAACTTAGTTCCATATTTTTATTTTCTTCTTCCTCTTCCTCTTCTCTAGTATTTTTCTTTCATAATCGTCATCATCATCGGTCGTATCTGATTTCTGTGTTTTTCTGAAAAATAAAGCTTGTGCCATACTCAAACGAGCACGAAGTTTTTTTGGGTAAGAGAAAGAAAAAAAAATCTTTTTGCTACAAATAAAATAAAAATAACGAGAACGAGTTGTGATATTTATTACGTGCTAATTTAATTTTGTGTGTTAAAAATCATATTAATGGTGTTAATATTTCCTCGATTAGCGTCAATCGTGATGCTGACTCGCGTAGAGGAGTGAAGACATAAAATATCACACAAAAAAATGATGAATAAGAAGGAAGCCGGTATGAAGTGTCCATAAATCGGATGATTTAGCGCATTTTATGATGATTTTTGACTGACATTTATGTTTGTATTAAGATCGTGTGTGTGGACTAAGTTGTAGAAACAATTTTTGGGAGTCTGTCTGGGGTGCAAATAATTGTCGCATCAGATTATATGCCTCATTGATATTTGCTTCATAATTAATTATCCTACTGTGCTGTTATATTCTCCGACATAATGATTATTGTGAGGATTTTTCATTTGCACGCATCATGAATTGGTGATTGGTGGCACTGCTTGTGGTTTTGCAAATGATATTTAATTATTCATGTATCTTTTGATTGAAATTGATGGAGTTTTAAGGTTTTTTTTGATGGTCAGTGTTGTTTTTGTCGATGGAATTGAGTTGAGTTTGTGGGAATCTTTGTTTGACTTTATGTTGGAATCTTATCTTTAGGTCTACATGGTATAGTTCACTTTCAATGGGGTAAATCCTACGAATAATAATTTACTTGAGGTTGAGGTCGATGCAATTAAACTGTTTTGTCCATAAGTATTCATGAGACTTGAACCTACACTTGATATGAGTCAAGTTCTCCCTTCAACCTCCCTCTTATCTTTTGATCAACAAAAATTACAAATTTTAATTTCCATAAAATACATTTCAGAACCAACATGACTATATGTATATAACAGACAAACTGTCGAGCTACCTGAACTCCATCATCAAATAAACAGAATAAATCTTTTTATACTTAAATATAATTGAAGATGATGTTCCAAAAAATTACGATTTATTTCTTCTTTTCACACGTTTAAGTACATAAAGATATTCTTTATACTTTACATCTTGTCAAATGCACGCACTGAAATACATTCAATCGGAATGCTTGCACGCGCGTGAGAAATTTGTTACGATAACGATTAAGCATTATTTTCTTTTCTCTTTTCATGAAAAAAATAAATTGTGATAGTTTTTCCTTTCCGTTGAGTTTTTGTATCATCTCGACTTACTTCTGGGTCGCTTATGTGTCATAATAACATGAAAATAAATCATACAAACAATATAACGTTTCTTCTTCTTTTCTTTTCTTTGACAAAATGCCTTTTTGCTGTTTTTGCTTGTTTCTTTTCTTTTCATGATGAGAAATAAAAAAAAAACTTTTTTCACGTAGATTGCTACTTCCTCCTCTTTCTCCCAGCCATCATCATGATTCCATTAGACCGAACATATTTGAATGAATGAAACTATGCTTTCTCGAAATCCCGGTCCCGACAAATTTTCGGGATCGGGATCGGGATTGAAATTTTTCGGGATTTCCCGGGAAATCCCGGGAATCCCGAATATGTAAAAAAAATTAAAAAACAGCATTTTTCTGCTTTTTTTTCCAAAAAAAATTGTATATTTTTTTGCTACTTATACGGTCATTTATTCCTTAATTAATTAGTTATAATTTATGTGTTACAAGGTAGATGTTTTAATCCATGTTTCCTTTGAAAAATGTGAACATAAACAAAAATAGAAAATAAATGTTGATAAAGATGTAAGTTTAAAGGTTATAGAAAACGGTGTGAATATAATAATAAAAATTAAGCATTAATGAAAAAACTTTTAACAAATGCAATTGCATTTAGATTCTTGTCAAGTAAACGTTTTCTTTGTTTTGTAAGAATGTTGTTACTAATAGAGAAATTTCGTTCGCTTTGAGTTGAGGTCGGCTGCATTGTTATCAATGCATCGTAAAGTTGATCTAACAAAACGGTTCTCTTCTTATTTTTGTCATACCAATTAAACTCTCTTTTCAAGTTATTTGGTTCTGTTGCTGCTGCATCTGTTGTTAATGATGTATATTCAGATATGCTTAGTTTCAGTCTATCTCGAATAGAAATGTTTGACGGTTGGATTTGATTTGCACTGGATGTTGAAGCTTCCATAGCTCCATTTGTAGAGTTTTTGACAAAATACTTTTTCAATAAGTCAATGCCAAGTTTATGTATTGCAGCTTTTGTTGACGATTTAAAATGCTTGTCTAAAGAAATAAATTGAGGTAAAGTATTAAGTCAATTAATGTTCCATTTCTTCGTGCACCTATGCGAGCGCAATTCATATCGTAAACCTTTTGAGACAATAATGTTCCTTGTAGCAACAATTCGTCTAGCAAAAAGTTAATTGTTCCTTCAGCAATTAATAAATCGTCTGATTTACGCAATAATTCTTCTGTCGCGTATTTAGCAGGTTCTAAAACATCAATAATTTCCTAAATTAAAAAACCGGGATTTTCAATCCCGATCCCGATAAATTTCGGGATCCCGGGATTGATCGGGATCGGTAAATCCCGGGAAATCCCGATCCCGATCCCGATAGCGAGAAAGCATAAATGAAACTGAAACAAGGAATGTAAAAAGAAACATCTGAGATGTGAAAAAGGCCTATGATGAGGCGTAAAAACTGGCAAAAAATCTTTCTTCTTGTTCTTTTTTCAATTCTTATGTTTCATGTCTGAGCTGCTTTCGTTCTTCTCACTCTAATCTGCCTTATATGTCTCATATATGTGCTCTTACTAATGCTTTTATTGTTTCTACATTCCTTAATAGGAAGATAGGGAGAAATGAAAGAGAAAGTCTGTTGGATAGAAGGAAAGTTGTGGAACAATTGTTTTTGGTCACATCTAAGGCACAAAAAGAGATGTGTCAGATCATTTTGTAAAAAAAAAGGTTAAAAAGGCTCTTGGGATTGAATGGAAAATAAATACATGTTTGGATCATGGAAGAACAGAGTCTGATAAATTAAAGAAGATTCATGCTTATGATGTAATCATTGATTTGAGCTTTTTTTTTTGCTCTTTTAAAGAGTTTTGTAAAGTTGTAAAGAGTTTTTAAAATTCAAATAAAGTAAATTATCTAATCGTAGTCAACTCTATTTCATTCAGATCAAAATTTCTGATTTGTTCAAAAATAATCAATTTTAAGTAGAAATGTGCATTTTAAGTTGTAAATTAAAAATAAATAAGTGAAACTGACAGCTTACAAATAGTATTAATAAGCAAACTAATCGGAATCGAACGAAATAATCATATAGTTTTTACTTCCTTGCAATTAAACTTTTTCTCATACAAATTTCCAAGAAAAACGCTTTTGGAAAGCTTAAAAATTCCATTCATAGAATTAGCCAGCATAAAGTTTGTTGCCTTTCTCAACTACTTCACGAATGAATGAATATTCGCAAGAAAAGAAGAAGAGGAAACAGGTAAATTAGATAGTAGATAGATGGAGGTTTGACCTAATCTTTAAAAGCCTACCACATGCTCTTTTTTATTGCGATAACCTTGCCTGACTTTTCCACAATCCTCTCGTTCTCATTGTTCTAAAGCTACGTTGTTCTTTTATCTTAACCATATGTCACATTCTTACATCAATTCGCTTCTTTTGTTTTTCTCATATTGTACGTTTAGTGAGAAATATTATTCAATCTAAATGGAAATCTGTAGAAATTTATGAATAAAGAAAATTTTACTCGAGATGGAACGTCTGAAATGCCATTAGGCAGATTTTAATAATTAATGACAATGTCATGAAGAAGAAAACAAATAAAAAATTTGTTCAACTTCTTTTTTTATCGCAACAATATCAAATTTCATTGAGGAAAAAAAGGCAAACTAATTTAATTTACATTTTTTTCTCTCGTTTCAGGTGATATTTGTGGTGGTCATTGTTGTTCATCACAAACTGAAGTTGACGTACTGAAAAAGTCTATCAAAACATTTGAGGGACTAATTAAGCATCAACTTAAAAACCTTAAAGGTTTATGGGAATCAACTTATAAAGTTTATAAAGGTGAGTCTGAATTCTTTGTGATATATTTGATATTTTTTATGGCTGTCGGCTCTTTGTAAGAAGGCAAATTCTTGGCTGTGGTATCAAATTATCAATCTGATACAATGTCGATTCAATAGCTGATTCTAAATGAATTTTGGATGTTGTCTAGAGTAATTCAGAATTGTGGGATCTTTAACAATTTAAATTCATCATTTGCCTGTCCAAGCACCATTTAATAATTGTCAAGAATAATTTTAATTGCTCTAAATTTATCACCACAGTAGAATCGTAAATTCATTTGATGCTATGTTGTGCACTTAAAATTTATATGCGACTCTGCCTATAACGGAACAGCAGAAAGCACCTTAATAAATCATTTTACGTACCCACGCTGTATATCTTTCCTTACTTTACTCACATCACAGTCTCAAAGAAAAGACGAAAAGAATTGCTCCATGAAACTTAATTAAGTAAGATTTATTTTAATAAGAATGAAAAAAATTGGATGTTTGGTTACATCGCGTTAAATGTCCATTGGGTGGCCAAAAAGCTTGTGTCATTTCCACAGTGATTCACATTTGACCTCATCTCTGTGTCTATATTTGATTTTCGTTTCTTCTTTCTATCTATTATGGTGATAATTTATATGAGGCTTAGTATCTAAATTTTTTTGGATATAGTCAGTTAATCATACATCGAATAATGCGGACACTCTGTCTAAAAGGCAGCATCGAAAAACGGCTTTATTCAAAATCCAATTTATAAAAATCTTTTTAATAAATTTATCGATGACTTCACATGATATTCATACAGCAATGGATTTAAGATTCTTTTTCTAAATTTTGTTCTTCTTCTGTTTATGAATATAAAAATGTAGTCAGAGCCACAAGACTTTAGTTTGATTTCGTTTTCTTTTATTAAATTCAAATTTTTTTCTCTCTTTTTCTCATTTTATCTTCGCTTTTTTGCACTCTGTTCTTGCTATTCTTTCATCACTTCTTCTTTTACATCTTTCTCGCCCCTGAAAATGTTATTATATTGGACTTTATCGCCAATCCAGCAACAATGAATGCGAATTAATGAAAATTGAATGAAGAAATATTTTTTTTGCTTTTCTTTTTCATTCTCAATCTCGCTTTTGATATTGCTAAAAATGATACCGAGATGTATATTGTGATAGTTTTGGTGATGATTGAGTAGCTTTTGAGATATTGCGTTTTAGGATGATCAAAATGATTCAAAGTTTAATAAAGGCTAAGATAAAATAATTGATTTTACCAGATTTCTGGTATATAGACCAAAAAATATTTAAACTTACCACAAATGAATTTAATTCAATAAGAACTCACCACAAATAAACAAACATAACCATAAGAAACTCACCATAGTCAATTAAAAGTCACCATAGTTCAATAAAACTCACCACGTTCGATTAGAACCAGGGACTGAAATGTATGAAAAAAATCTTTGATGAAAAAAAAATCACTCATTTCAATGAGTAAAAAAATCATGATTTTTTCCATCCTGCGTACATTATTACGTAGAAAAAAATCACGTGAGAAAAATTTTTACGTAGAACTTCATCACTATTAAGTCACTTGCGCTTTAATTTAGCTTCTTCCATGATTAATGATATTTTAATCTGTCATTTAAACAACCAGATACTCGTTAAAATAGATTTTAACTTAATTAAAATATAGTAAGGCATTGGTTCACTGATTCTTACCTTAATGTTCTCCTAAAATTTTTGAAATTTGAAATTTGAGTCCAATTTATGTCATTACTTCCTTTATTAGTTATTATATCCATACCTGATCGTTCCAATACCTGAATAAACTATTAGCAGCAACAAGCACTTCACATTTAGTTGAAAATTTTATGAAAAATTTGAAATATTTATTTTTGAATGAAATTTGTGTTGATGAAAATTTTTTTTCGTAATTATCATCATTACGTGATGAATTTCTACGTAAAAAATTTTCTTACGTGATTTTTTTCTACGTAATAATGTACGCAGGATGGAAAAAATCATGAAAACTCACTAAAATCGAATAAAACTCACCTAAATCAAATTAAACTCACCAAAATCAAATTATACTCACCACAAATGATTTAAACTCACAAAAATAACATATTTTACTTTAAAATGAAAAAAAAAGCATTTAATTATTAATCAAATTATAAGAATACAGATGAAAAGATAAGCATAAGTTTCATTGAATCCTCAGAAACGTCACAAAACGTTTCCATTAACTGAACAACTAGCGCAAAAAAATTATAACCTTTAGCTCGGTCTCATTCACATGACATTGACAATGACTCGCACATATGTGTACTTAGAAGATGTCTCAGACATCATCAGACAAAAAAATAAATAAATATTCATACAAAAAACAATTTAAGAAGAAACCCACTCCTGCCTGCCCTAAAATTCACGCTTCATTTACATTTAATTGGGTTCGATTAAAAGTTCATGAATAATATGATTGATTTCACTCTATCTCATTTTTTTCCACAAACTCAATCTATTGTATCCGTAATCACTTCTCAATCTCATTGACGTTTGTATGCTTGTTATTATATATATGAATTACAATGACCACATATTCATAAATGAGATGCTAGTACAAGTGAAAATCTATAATCTAACGCCTACATCACAGTAACAAATGAAGTCTCATAATAACGAATTTATATTGTATGTAAAGTAATTTAAGGAATGAAGAAAACAAGCTTTCAATTGATTAAGTCATTGATACTCTCTCTACAAATGATGTAGGAAAATAATAAAGATGAAAATGAATGTGAGTGCTTTAATAAAGTAATTGATTTGTTAGGAAAATAACAAAGGGATTGACTATGGGGATATCTCAGCGAATTTCTATTTCTATTTCTATTCATTGATGTGAAAAGAGGATTCTATGGTTTTCATTATGGATGAATATCAATACAATCATGAAAGCTGGCTAAGATTATTATTAAATGTAAGAATAGATTTTGATTTTATAATTCTGTATGATTGTCTGAAAGTGATTCTATAGGGATTAATGTAAATTAATGGATTTTAGGTAGAATTTGAAGGATAATCCTCAATTCAGAAATCTAACCTACAAAAACTTTTTCCTTATCAATTCTATCGCATCTATCCTCTAGTATATCTCGACTTAAGATAAATTTTATTGTTTCAAACATCCCATGCTATATTGACGCATGTTATATATATCCAGAAAAAAATCAATAAATGGAAGATGAGATTGACTAAATTAGTAGACATTGAGAATAAGTCAAAAATACGAAAACAAATTTTATATATAAATGCTTACGGCAAACAGTCGAAATTATTGTCAATAATAATAAAGTTGACATAATCTAGATATAAATTTGCTTTTTATTACTCAATGTCTATTGTTGGACATTTTCTTATCGGAAAATGAAGATGAATTTCTCAATTTTCGGATTATTTCATGGGAAGCTACCTTTTTAGAATCTCATACATAAAACTGTCATTAAAAAACTGGAACTGCTCCAAAATTATCCAACCCCTGACTCACACATAAATGTTACAGTAGAATAGTTTGCTGGAATTTGGAGCAGATGTGAGCAATTAACATTACATTGAATTTAAATTTTATACGCACAATAAAAAATTTTGTGGAGTCACATTCTTTCCAAAAGGGAGGTCGATCTATTGTAATTAACAAGCAGATGGTATTCATAAAGTAATAATAGTCATTAATGAAAAGGTTTTTGGAAAAGCTTAAGTTTTTTAGGAATATTTTAAAGCAGGAACAACAATGTGTTTGATCTTTAATGAATTTTTCATGATGAGTTCTCATCAATCCTTTAAGTAGACGACCATGTAAATAATTAAAGGTTCGTGCAATTGACGGGAATTGTTTCTGATAGGAATTTGTAGAATGATGAATAAAAATCTACCTTAATTCAGATTAATTAAGCTTACTTAGCTCAATTCAGCTGTTCAGTTTATTCAGCTATATTCAGCTCAATTCAAATTATTAAGCTCAATTCAGCTTACTCAGCTCAACTCAGTTCAGTTTATTCAGCTAGATTCATCTTGTTCAGCTCAATAAAGTTTATTCAGCTCATTCAGTTCAACTCACCTTAGCTCTGACAATTCAATTTATTCAGTTAAATCTGGTTAAACCAACTCAGTATTGCGGATTTCAATCAATTTTTCAAAGCTGCCACATCAAAACCAACTTCGTTCACGAAAAAAATTAATTAAAATAGCAACAGCCATAATTTGAGCCAAGCCCATGTTACTCCAAAAACGGATCCTCATCTAAACATCATTAAAATCTCCTCCGAAAGCAATTTCACACCACTATAAATTTGTCCGCTCCGGTTTGTCCATGTCAATAACTTTATGACACACGCCAACTTTCTAGTCATTTAAAAAATAATTTAAAAGAAGCCCAAAAAGCCTTCATATCTTATCTGGATGATGTTTCACAAAATAATATAAACTAACTCAAATAAGCCATCTATTTTTATCATTTTATGAGACAATATCATGACACCAGCTTTCAGTTGTCGCCCAATAAGCCATTCCCATATTCACATCAATTTTAAATTTATTGATGATTAAAAAGTCACTTGAATTAATTTCCAATATAGTCGAGAGATGTTTAATAATAATTTAAATACATACAAAGAAGCTTCTTGACACGCTTCTTTAACACAAGAACATATTGTTGAATAAATAAATTTTTGGTTGGCTCCAACAATAAGACCACATTCCGTACCCAAAAAAATGTGGTTAAAATTGAGTGAAATATGAAGCAACGGCAGCAATAACGAGGCCAATAAAATTTATTATGATCTTGTTAATCTGTTCAATTAAGCATTTAAAATTGCTCGCATATCATTGTCTAGCTGGCGAGAATGAGGTTCAAGTCTACATTCTATTAATTATCCATTCGATGCTGATATTGGCTTTATTATTTTAACTCATTCACTTTACATAATAGATTAGAAATAACAATACATCCACATGC